CTTTTTCAGTGAATACTTCCCAGATACTAGGTGGATAGGGTGACTATAATGATTTTAGTCACTTTCCTCATGCAGTTTACATTCTAGCAGGAGGGAAACATCTCCCATGACAAATCATAATTACAAATAGTAATGAGTACCACAAAGCAGGGGAACACAGTCTCAGAGAGATCAATGGGAGAGGTTAGTTTACCTTGGTTGGTCCCAGAACATTTGAAGAAGTGGCACTTAAGTTGTGACATGGAGGATGAAAATCACTCACATCCCTCATGACATTGTCAGGGTTTAGATCACAACCCCAAAATATGGCATCTTGGAGGTCACTCTCTGACCTTCTCCTGCCTTCCTCCTCTGAATAGGTGATAAAGAATTCTCTGACCTACCACCTGTGAGAGCAGTTCATAAGATCCTTATTCCACAGGTTTCTGCCCCATCTCTGGAGGCCAGGGAGAACCCGGACAAGCAAACCTTGCTAAGCTTTCATATTTTATCCACCAGATTAGACCCCTTCTCCACACACAATTGTGTATGCCTCAGCCATAAAAATACTTTGTTTTTCCCTGGGTTTTTGAGTCCTCATCTATGTCCCACAAAATTTTGGTTAAATAAATTTGTTAATGCTTTTTTTCTTGGTAATCTCTCTTTGGTTATATAGAAAGAAGTGTCAATCATAAATCTTGTGATCAGTGAGGAAAAGATATGACCTTTTCTCTCCATTTATTCTTTCAATTTAATTGGCATCCCTCTCTCCTGGCCTTCCTACTTCCTGCCTGACAATTCTGAGTCAGCCTTCATGAGGTGATCTTCTTCTTCTATCCAAGTTTTAGACTCTGAAATTCTTCAGGATTAAGTTCTAGCCCATTTTCTTATCTCAGTCTAAAGTTCTTCCCAAGGCATCCAATCCATTCCTATGACCTCAGAGATCACCTCTGTCAATAACTTCTTAATTTGACTTTTCTATCAAATACTTCTTTTCCTAGACTCAGTCAACTGCCTCAAATGGATATCACTTAGGAATCTCAAAGTTAATGTAAAAATAAAGATATTTCACTCTTGAATCTTCTCCTTCTCTGTGATAGTAGGAGCAAATGTGACTCCATTTTGTTTTATGACTTCATCCTGTAAAACAACCATGCCAAGTAGAAGAGTCATGACTGGAGCAAGTTGTTCTTTTCCTTTTGCTATAGAAACCTTTAAGAACACAGAACTACCTAATGGGGTACTGATTCTTTAACTAGGGTAACCGAGCTCTGTTTCTGTAACTGGGGTGACTGGACTAACTGTGATTGGTTAGGCTTCCCTTCGCTTGACTGCACTGTCCCGCTTCTGTAACATGGCTTGCTTGCATTGGCTAGACCCCTGAACATCCCTTTTGCGGTTTTCAGGCTTATAAGGAGTGCCCTTGCAATTGTTCGAGGCTGATCAGGGGAACAGCTTTATGCTCTGGTCAGCCGCCACTGGTGTGCTTCAATAAAGGCTTGATTCGATTATACGTGAGTGGTCTGGAAGTCAGTTCATGAAACCCTGGGACAAAGCTTTAACTATAACATCTCCATCTTCCTAAACAGGACCATTCACTCAGCTGCCATATGAGTACTCAAGGAATCAAACATGATCCCTCATTCTTCTTTATCTACAATATACAATTGGCAATTTGGCTGTGTCTAGTTGATACCTAAGATATATCTAGGATTTCACAACATTTTTTTTTTTCAACTCCCGTGCCATCAACTCTACCAAATTTCTTTCAGTCTTGCATCCAGCCTTGCCTCCAAATTATAGCCTCAAATGCAAATTTCCAATTACTCTCTGGTTTTAAAGTTCTCCCATTTTTCCGAAGATCAAGTCTAAAGTCATTTGAATGGTTTCTAAGATTCTGTCTGATCTGCTGACTGCTTATTTTTTTTGGTCTCATTCCATGCGAATCTTCACATTAGTCTAGCCACAGTAAATTTATTTCAGTTTCTAAAATTTACAAAGGACTTTCTCTTCTGTGAGAATTTGCACATACTGTTCCTTCCACCTGAACATCTCAAGTCTCCATGCTACATGTGATCAAAGCATGACACCCATCTCTGTACCAGAGATGAGCAATAGATTACCCAATGGAGATGATTTCAGCAATGAAGACATTTAATTTTAATGATTGTATGTCACAAAAAATCTGAAAGTAGGCACTTCCAAGGTTGGTATGAGACCAACACTTTTCCTTTTTTTCTCTGCCATTTTGTGCATGTTTATGTTTTAATTTAAGGTCCATTACCTAACTACTGTCAGAGATTTGTGCTCCATGTTCTGATATGACTGTATCCAGGCTAGAAAGAAGGGGGAAGAATGCTCATTTTGTGTATCACCTCCTGCCAGAGGCGGGGGTGGGGGGGGGGTGGGGAGCCCTCATCACATTCTCCTCCATTGCATTGGCCAATTCTATGTCACCTGGCAATGAAAGACTGCTTTGGTGAGTATCTGGGGATGGATAAGAAGAAAAGGGATGAAATGGCTGTTGGTTTTACAATCAGTGGCGTCTGCCATTTTTTAATGCACTGATCAAAAGAACAATCAAAGATGGAAAGAACTAGAGACCATTATGTTAAGTTAAATAAGCCAATCTCAGAAGGTGAGGGGTCATATGTTTTCTCTCATGTGTGGAAGCTAGAGAGGAAAGAGGAAAAGAAATTCAGGGGGAATCCCATGAAAATCAAAGGGTGATCAGTAGAGGAAAAGGACCAATGGGTGGAAGAGAGGGAAGGAGGGAAGAAATTCCGGGAAGGGATATTGGCCAAATTAGATATTGTTTGCGTGTATGAATATGTAACAACAAATCCCATCATTAGCTGCAACTATAATGCACAAATAAAAAATGGAAAATAAAGGATGATGGGAGAAAAAAAGACAAAATAACCATTAAAGGAATAAATATGTCCATTTTGTTGACTGTCTTCTCTGTGAGCTAATAATCGCTTCAACTCTGGGAAATACATCTGTTTTACACACTGCTATAAGCCTGGAATCCTCACAATGCTGGGCCCACATAGATCAGTCAGTGTTGATAGAAGGATCAAATTAATGAATATTAAAGAGAACAGCAGAAGCAGAAAGCAGGTTCAAAGGAGACAAAAAGCTGCCAACACAAAACTTAAACTGATTGCCCTATCTCAAATCTCAATTAAATTAAAAAGAATGCTTTTATCAAAAAATTAGACATTTTTTAATAAGTGCTCAGTTCTTCACATAGTGACTACAACTTTCCTAACCTCTCCAATTCCTGCCACATGGGTAGACACAGGTCTTATTTTTATCACTAAGATCCAGGAATGAATTATTTTTAAAAATAAAATTTTAGGGCTGGAGTTGTGGCTCAGTGGTAGAGCACCTGCCTAGCATGTGTGAGGCCCTGGATTCGATCCTCAGCACCACATACAAACAAATAAAATAAAGGTATTGTGTCCAACTACAACTAAAAAATAAATATTTAAAAAAAATTTAAAAAATATTAAGCCCTGTTAAGGAGTTATATGATCCAGAACAATTTCAACTGTCTTCTGTACATACATATAAGTTAATTCTTGGCTCAATCATTTAAATATCATTCAAAAGTACATAAAATCTTAAAAAGAACATATATAAAATTTTTGGTCTAAATTTTCTACCCTTGAGAGCATCACACCAACAGAGAAGTTTGTAATTCAGGTTGGCTGAATAGGAAGATGGCAAATGTAAAATGTCGGGCACAAGAAGTTGCTAGGTGCATTTTAGTTCTTATATCTAGTCCAAAAGGAAGGTTTTACTCCTATTTCTATCATGTCCTAAGTACATACCTATGTGCAAGTTGATTATGTTCTTTGGATGGCAAAGAATAAGGTAATCTTAAACTAACCTTTCAGTTATAAATAAAGTCACCCCACAATTTAAAAACCTAAGTTAAAAAAGGCAAATGATATTGAGTACAGTCAGCTATAACCGACCTAACAAAAGATTTAGAGGCACACTCACATTCCTGAGAGTGTCTATTTCTACAGATGTAGAATTTCTGCTTAGTTTCTGATGGGCATTATGTTTGGTCCTGTTAAAATACATAGGGCACTGACTTACAAACATCACATTTAAAAAAAAAAAGAATCTTAAATATCAACACATGCAAGAGTAGGTTTCATATTTTAAGTGTTTTTTTATTTGAAATTTAAAAAAAATGCTTAAAAACAAAAAATGACTTTAACATTGGCAAAGGGAGTCCCCCAAAGAAAAAAAATATATAAACAGATGGCTGAGAAAGATCACCCACATGCAGAACACAGATCTTGAGGAGGCATTTCTAAGAATGAAGTAGCACTTCCCAGCCTGGGCCACTTCCCACAAGGATCCTTGTTTAACCCATGGAAAACGCCAAGCTTACACCATGGGCCAAGGGGAACCTGAACCCTTTCCCATTGCCTCACAGTAATCAGTTTCCAACTGTCCCCAGTGTTCTCAGAGAAGCTAAGTACCAGTCACTTGAGACCAGCAATTCTCTAATAAATCAGCCTGCCACGATCAGCCCCGAACTAGCATCTTCCTAGTGAATGGGCTGTTAAGCCCTAGCTAAGCATATTAAACATTCAATTTAATGTATGACACACATCTGTTCCACTTTCTCAGTGAGCAGAAGTTTCAAGACAACTTAAATCCCAGACTTAATCAACAAGGGAAAAAAAAAAAATCTTGGCAGTGTTTAAAACTGAGTTTTAAAATATAATCCAAATGAGGGCGAGAGAGACCATTTTGCTGTAACTAATGAGATTATATAATACCTAAATAAAATCCCCAAAATTACCTGAAAAGAAACACTAGATCTTTTATCTGGGCCCATTTATTTTTTTTCCTTTCAAGGCCATCAACATTTCCCAAAGACCTTCATGTACACTTGGCCCAAGACATTAAAGAGCAAGCTAAAATGGCAAGCCTTCTACAAACACAACAGTTTAACCCCTCGGATGCCAGAGGACCATAAAAGGAAAACTCACAGACTTGTCTTTCACAAGGAGAGCACAACACTGGATTCCAGCCATCAGCATCTTGTGCGGGTTCCAGGCCACTGAGTCAGCCCTATTGTGTTAAAGAAAGGGACAGAGTAGGAAGGGGACTTGATTAGTTTCCACAGGCAAAAGGACATTCAGTCCTCATACATAAGTTACTGCTCTACAGGATTCCTTGTCTGAGTCATCTGGGGGAATTTAGAAGGTTTTTGTTTTGTTTTAGGAAAAACAATTATTTCATTTTTGCCTGTTTTCAAAATGTCACTTCAATGGGCAAAGTCCAAAGAGATTCTTTTATCCCAGATAAAAGCCAGTCGCAAATGAGGAAAGGACATTTACCTGTGGATACCATGTAGAAGCCTGCGGTGCTTCCTTGACATCAAAGCTGAGCCACCCCAAGAAGCCTGTTGAGATATTTATATAACCAAGGCAATGTTACTTCCATGTTATTTGTTTACCAGTGGGTTGTCATATAGAAAATCCTCAGTGACGATCTCAATCTGTGTTATTTGGTGTTTGGTTTTATGTTCTGTTAACCAATTTGTACTCCAGGGATTGAACCCAGGGCTCCATGCATGTGAGGCAAGGGCTTTACCACTGAGCTACATCCCAGCTCCAGGGGATTTTAATCTCTGGCTCTACTTAGGCAACCAGAACCTCATCACAATAGATGGGCCCTTACTGAACCTTAGAATGTATATTCACACATCATAAATACATTGGCACACTAACCACTTGAATTTGTGCAGATAAAAAGAGATTTTAAAAAGATAGTCCATGCCCACTTGAAGCCTAGACTATAAAAGGGACAATGTTTTCACAAAGCTGACATTTTGACATTCACATTGTATGGTGAGTCATAGGCCAATGGCTGGAATTCTAAGCAATGAATGAAGCACATTATTGACAAAGTGGATGAAAGGTTCACCGGGATGATTAGGTGGCAACCTACCCTTTAATGAAAGAACTATTCAGTCAAATGGCATTCAGACACATTTGCAAATCAAAGGCGGGGGAGTGGAGAAGGGAAACCTTGGGACTTTCAAGGAAGTAAGTTATTCACTAGAGAGGCAAATTTTCTGCATACAGGAGAAGGGAGCAGAGAAAAGGGAAATGAAAGGAAGTCCCACAATCAATAGGTCAGGAAAGTAGGAAGAAGGGTTCAAGGTAGGAAATACAAAAGTCAGTTTGATCCTTGAAAATTGTTCAGTCTTCCAAATTTTAATCTAGTAGGACAAGGAAGCATGAGTGCTGTGGAAGAATCTGGGGGAACTAGCTTGAGCTAGGCTGAATGCTCTCGCATTTATTTAATTCTTACAATATCACCCTGGGGGTGGAGTTATTATCAACCTCAATACTTACAGATCAATGGAAGCTCAGAGGTGGGAAGCTAATTGTCCAAGGTCTCCTGGATGATAAAATCAGATCTCGGATCCAAAACCAATTTTCTATTAGTGAAGGTGACCATTGGAAAACTTGGGGAGTATTAAAATGGGGAACTGAGGGTGATGGACATACTTTAGGCAAGAGGTGAGTTCAAGAGGTGCCAAGGATATAGAAAAGGTGTCCTACTTCAAGTATAGAATTAAATAAGTTAGGTGGATAACAATATCACATAGAAAGAAATGACAGGATTGTATTCAACATAAATGTGGAAGATAAAGGAAATGAGACACTGCTATGATTCTCAGTTTATTACCAAAGCTGGGCCCATTGGTAACCAATGAAGATAAAGCATAGCAGAGGGCACTCTGTGGCCTTGACTCCCACTTAAAAGGCAACTCTCTCCTTGAGGGCTGGAAGTGGGTTAAGATGAGTGAGTCACTTAATTACATAATTTAAAAATGAACTTGGTCTCAAATCTGGACTCTTGCATGGCCCTAAGAATGAATTTAAAGTGCTTAAATTTGAGTCCTTGAACCATCTTTGGTCTCATCCTAGTTACAGCTCTGATTTCATGAACTAATGTCTTGAACAACTCCATGAGGTGCCCAAAGGCCTCTGTACTAGATGTATCTTGAGGGTGGTGTGTGTGTGTGTGAGTCCCACAGACTCCTTGTAAAGAAACCATGTCTTGGGGCTGCCAGCTAAGTGACCTTCTTGCCATACTGTCATACTCTCTCCCCAGTCCTACTGGGACTCACAACAGACCATTGGTGACTAAGATGGACCACAGAAGCTACTGCCTTCAGCATCCTAGCTTACTAACTGAAGGTCCCCAAGTCTGAATTTTGAGATCTTGATCCGCCACAGACATTAAGATGACTTATGGATTAGGTTCTCTTACTTCCATTACACACCCTAAATACTAGCACATTTTAAAGGCATTATTAGTCCACTGGTTTACCAAGTCATTGGCAGGGGTTAGGAAGAGCTCAGTCACAAATTCACTCCTCAAAGGAGCTAACAGGAGCCCAGCAGACACCCAAATCCATAGATGCTAAAGCACCTTTTATAAAATGGCATATTACCTAGGTAGCCTTCCCAAATAGTTTAAAATGATCTCTAGGTAACTTATAATACTTAAAAAATATAAATATAAGTAATTGTTGCACTGCAATATCAAGAAAATCATGACAAGATAAAAATCTGTGCATCTTCAATATAGGCACAATTTTAAAAAAATTTTTTTTTTGATCTGCTAGATTCCTGGAACCAATTCCTTGTGAATATAGGGAGATGAGTGTCTATGACTTTTTGAAACAAGACAAACTGTGGAGACCATGATACAGATTAATGGTTGTTAGGGATTGGGAAAGGAAGGGTTGAACAGGTAGAGCACAGAGTATTTTTAGGGCAGTGAAAATGTATGATACTATAATGGGGGATCCATGTCGTTATACATTTGTCAAAATCCGTAGCATGTACAACACCAAGAGTGGACTCTAATGTAAATTATGCATTTCACAAAAATAAATAAACAAAAATAACAACAACAATGAGTTAAAAGGAGAAACAAATAAAACTCCTGATGTCCAAATCCTACTTCTATTTGCTTCTCTTTCTCAATCTGTAACACTAGAGTTTCAAGAACAGCAAACCAACCACTTAAGTGATGAAAGAGCTTGATTTTGCATCTCTATGGGGAATTGCCATTTATGGAGCTAACATATATGCCAGACACCACAATATGTTAATCTGCATGTTTTTCTCCTTAATTAACTAGTTAATAAATTAATTGGAAAACCAACCTTAAAAGAGAGGTGAAAGCAGGAGTGGCATCTAGATTCTACACCCTCTAAAGTCCATGCTTTTAAAAACAATGTTACAGTCTCCCTAGGACTTGTAATAAATAGTGGGGAGACAGCAAAAAGCATTGCTGGGCACTTGAGTCCCCGAAGAAGCCATAAGACTCTGCCTCAAAGGAGAGCAGGGCAGCCCTGCCTCCTTCTAGTTAGAGACTTGAATCCCATCCCCTCTCACGGAGGAACGATGGTCCTGAAGGGAAAAGATCCTCATAAGACTAAGGCTTTTCTTATTCTGTTGTCTAAAAATGCATTATAATTGGGCTGGGCATGTGGCTCAAGCGGTAGCATGTTTGCCTGGCATGCGTGCGGCCCGGGTTCAATCCTCAGCACCACATACAAAAACAAAGATGTTGTGTCTGCCAATAACTAAAAAATAAATAATAAAAAATTCTCTCTCTCTTTAAAAAAATAAAAAATAAAAATGTATTATAATTAATCGAATTAAGATATCAAATATTCACCATCATTTGTATACCACTGAGAGGGGAAAAAAAGACATTTTCAAAATACCAATATCAAAGATGTAAAAACATTTTTTTAAAAGTGCAAGTTAGAATTAATAAAGTATGGTATATAGGCAAGGGCAAATCAGTTTTATGGAAAACCCAGACTAATAAATAATCATAATGGCATTTTAAAGAGAGATAAATAAATATCAGTTTTAATATTTGAAAATCTCTTTAAAATACTCTTTAGCCGATTTCTAGTAGGTCAAAGCAATTACGGCAATTTTGTTAATATTCTATCTTCAAAATTAATGAACTTCCTGTGTTATGTGAAGTTTCTTCAAGATACGCTACCTATTGCTGTAGTAAAATGTTTTCAACAGATTGAACCACTGAAATAGCAAAGGATGGGCAAAGACTATCTCAATTTTAGAGCTTATTAATTTCTTTAATATGTCAGAAAGAGTGTGGTCAAACTCAGTCCAATATTATGGGCATTTGCCAGATGCCTACTATATGCAAACAGAATAATTTAATTTGGCTTATGTGTTTCCTTAAAAAAGTGTTTACTTCAAAAGTTCAACCTTTAATTTTTTGAAAACCCAGGGAGCTTTTCATTCATATGTATAAATCACAATTTTCTCTAAGCCCCATAAATCTCTTAATATCATTCCCAATTTAACAACTGTTGTAGTTACTCTGTTTTACATAAACTATATAATCCATATTTGATGCTTCTTTTATGAGAGTAGAATATTTAAGTACAATTGCTGATGTATTAAATTGTTTCTCCTTATTTCCACAGTTACAAAAGGACTCACTTCATATTATCTTTCATGACATAATGTATTGTTATGCTTCTAAGTCTATAAAAATCAATAAGATGTAAGTTGGAATATGAACAGATACAAATACTCATACAAAAAAATACAGATACAAAAAAAATCTCATTTAAAGAAGCTGCAAATAATCTACCTGGAGTAGTCCTACCGGCATGCTAATCATGTCTGTGCCTCTCGTAAGCTTCTTAGTGCTTCTGCTTTCACCAAATATTGTCACACGCTTAATGAAAATCTTGAACTTCTGAGGAATTCCCTCCACATCATATCATCTACATTTAATTTTGAAAGCATAAAAATCATCTGAACTCTAAAATTTTATGAAGGCAAATAGTCACCTTCTGTTTAACAAGTTAAAAATATTTATTTATTTATTTTCTGATAAGGAGTATCTGAACCACGCACCTTCCAGAGGAAAGTTCCCTAAAGTCTCATCAGCATGGTTAAACACCTCTTTTCATGGGTAGAATAAAACTAGTTAAGTTCTGGTTTCACTAAATAATCAAATAAGAAAGAAAGAGGAAAATAAGGGGACCAAAAAACTCAAACTCAATATTCACAACTAGTTGAATTCAACTTTTTAACTCTGAATAAGTGGATTTAAAAATTATCTTTAATTTTAGGGAAACTTTATTATGAATAACCTCAGGACTCACAAAATTAATTAGGAAAAAAGCCCATCTTTTAAGTTAGAAAATTATGAAGAATGTAAGTCATCTCAATCCCTCTTAAATAATTATCTATGAGAGATACATATAAAACTGGCTTTAATTATTGCATGCAATTATGTAATGTAGTTTTTACATTTTCTGGCTGATTGGAATCGTAAAATTTCAGAGCAAGAGGATACTCTACAGACCACATCAGCCATCTCCCTTTACAAAGGAAGAAACTGCAATCAGGAGGCCTGAGATCACAATGAAGAGGCAGATTATAATCCCAATCCCCCTCCAAAAAAAGTTTCTTGATTCCATAGTCCAAAATGTATCCTTGACATTATGCCACCTCATAATTCAGGGAGGCAAAAAAATACCACTAAAGACAGGGAAAAGTAAAGTTGAATCCAGAAAATTAATACAAGTGTCCATGAAGTCTTAGACTTTTCCTCTTTAACCCTCACAGAAATGACATACTAATTTCCCCAAATTAGAAGCACAATTAAAAGTAGTTGGGGTTTTGCATCTAGGTTCTGAGAACCTGCAAGAAGCTACAGAATGACAAGGAAGTTTGACAGGTGTGTGTGCACAGGTGAACTTACATCCACGTGAAGCCAGAGACCGTGTCTCTCACAGATGTCAGCTATTTCATCCAGAGGGTCGAAGGCACCCAGCACAGTTGTGCCAGAGGTGGCACAGACAAGAAACGGCGTTGTCCCCTGTGAGAAGGATCCACACACAGAGAGAACTGTCACCGTCACCACCAAAGTTTTGTTGGAAACACAAAGCGTTATGCATCCAGACATCGATACTGGCGTTTTGTAGGTGACTGTTAATTCAATGGGTGTTTTTAAACTTCCGCACTATATGGACTTTTGTAATTAATAAACAGGTTAAAAAATGCTAAGAAGGCAGTAGTCTTTTGTGCAAGGTCAATATGTATATAGCCTCGCTATTATTGCTCTCCTTCTTCCTCTGCAATATTCTGTGCTCTAAGCATGGCTCAGACAGAGCATAAACTGCCTCCGTGGCAAAGGCAAACTGACAATCTGTATGTGTGACCCAATTCCTTCCTAGGGAAATACGCTGGGCCTCCATGGTGACATTGTCACTCTTCTCCAAAACAAGAAGGAACATGATTGGCAGACAAACCCCCAGTGGGTAAACCATACAGGCCTTTCTGGTTATCTCCTTGTAAAGTTAGAATGTGTTCAGGTACAAAACCCAGCAAAATTTGAATACAGAGAATCAGGCAACCTTGTGGGGAGGCCTTCTCCACATGGGTGTTACAGTAGAGAAATTCATTGGAAGGTACTGGAAAACAGAACCGGCATCACTCTTGCCGCGATTATTCCTCCTCCTACACTTGATTGCTACATCTTGCAGAGAAAACAGATGCCATTGGAAGATGGGGGAGAAAAGGGAGAGTGTGGGGGCACACGTAAAGATGAATGGTAACAGCAGTCAAGCTAGCCAGGCACCCTGACCCCATTAAGGGACTTTATGTCAACCAGGCAGAGGAAGAATACAACAGGTTGTTTCCATATGGATGAATCCCAGCATGGCATCGGAGACGAGCTGCTTACTGTGGAAGCATCCTGGAGGGAGAACTTACAGACCAATGTGAAGTGGTGACAAGCAACTAGAATCCTAGGATTCTAGAACACCTGAGGAATAAGTGACTCCTGTCACTTCACCACCTATGAAAGTCAGTCTTCTTCCATTTAGCATGAAGGTCTATTTTCCCCTCAGTTTTATCATGAAGCGCATTATTATTGCAACATTCTTTTTTTATCCTTTGATGCCAAGAGTGGTTGTGTTTGAAACAAACTCATTCCAATTTAACTGACCTTTGACAGAAAGATGTTATTTCTCAACAGAAAGTGGGGCAGAGCAAGAACACTTGGTCCCACATCTCCAAATTGAGATGCACAGGAATCAAAGTGATGGTACATAATGAATCCAGTTGCCATTTTTGGGAGACATCTGTGACACACAGAATCGAGTCTACCCCAAACCTCTCAGCCAGGCCAGAAGGTGAGAGAGCCCCTGGGAAACCATGGGCTTTGGAAATTCTTCCCTGTTCTCAAACACAACAGATTAAGTCTTTATCATGTCAGTGACCTAAATGAAATGAGAACAGATGTACATCAATCATCAAAAGCAACAAAAGAAGTAATTTGCTAAAGCTGTTTAAGGTGTCTTTAATGGTTGGGCTTTCCTGCCACAGACTATATGACATTCTGACAGCTGTGAGAAAATACCTATGCACATTATCATAGCCTATTAATGAGTTTTTCTCACCTTTAAAAAAAAAAGTTTCTATAAATCAGGTCCAGAAATTAAACTTTTGCAATCTGGATTTAACCTTCCATATTTTTTTTCCTTCCTCATACCTCATACTGTTAATAAGAAAATTCAGAAGAAAGGGTATTGATTGCATGTTGCCAATGAGCTATATTCCCTGAGAAAGTTTGTCATTTCAAGTACTCATACACAAAAATACCTCCAAAATATTCAGTGGTCATACAAGTTTGGGCTTGTCAATAATCACTTTAGAACTCTGGTGCCTTGTGGTTTTCACTGTCTTTGTAATAGCATCAAGTAAAGGTCACTGCTTAAACGAGTTTTTAATGGATTGTGATCCACCAGATACTTGAATCCAAGAACACAAGAAAAGCTGAAATAGTGTTGCCTACATCTGAAACAGTATGAGTTAAAAGCTTGAAACAAAACAACTAGGTCTAAGCTACTGAGGAAAATAAACTACTCATCATATATTATCATCTTCGAATGGGTACAAGGTTTGTTTGAAGTAAATCCAGGCTAAATTATCAGCTGACTTGAAAGAAAACCAAGAAGACATATCTGCTTTAGCCCCTTGTCCTACTTTTAAATGTGCCTAAAGCAATTTTTTTACTTTTTAAAGCCTTCTTTTATTAAGCTCTAAACTTTAGAATTACGTTGGCTTCGTATATATTATTGTCAAAACAAAAATTGGAGCAACTAAATAATAGTGACTGCGGTGAAATAAAATTCACTCTGCTAGAAATATGAATTGTTGCTGGTGGTATAGCTCAGTGGTAGAGCACTCGCCTAGCACATGCTGGGCCCTGGGTTCAACTGTCAGCAACACCAAACATAAGAAAGAGAAGGGAGGGGGTGGGAAAGGGAAAGGGAGGGAGAGGAAAGGAAAGGAAAAGAAGAAAAGAAATATGAATCATTAATGATACCAAAAATTTGGGAGACCATGTTTATAGAAAATTAACTCAGTATTTTGAAAATTGGTCAATAAGGGGAAAGAATAAATCATTGATCCTGCCTTGCATGTGTAAACTCCTTCCTTAGGGAAATCAAATAGGGATGAGGAAACATTTTTCTTTAAGAGAGTGTTGCCAATAATAAGGAAGAAATGAGAAACTGAATTAGAACATCAGTTGATGAAATAATGGGTCTGGACAATGACCACCAATGGTAGCAAAATCCATGAGGTGAGGGACTGACTGCAGACTTTATAACAATACCAAACCGTCAGCAGTGTCAGCACAAAAAGGGACATGAGATATCTCCAGACAGAAAGACAAAAGGAAACCTTCCTGCTTTTTGTTGTTGTTGTTGTTGTTTTGTTTTGTTTTTTAAATCCAATTTGAATCTCACTGGGTCTCAAGATCTAAATTCTACACTACAGACACAGTGGTGGGGAGCACTTAGCATCTCAATTCTTGATATAATCCACAAAATCCATAATGTGGAACACTCTACCAGACAAAGGACCTGGCTTCTTCAACAAATCAATTGTAGGCAACAAACAAGGAGGAGGACCAAGCTATGGATCAGAAAAGACTTGCGTGGTCTGTGTTTGAATCCTAGTGTACACAAGCCAATTATTTTTAAAAAGGCAATGGGGAAATTTTTAATAAAAGCTGAATATTTGATAACATTAAGAAATTTTAGCTTTTAAATATAATCATTGTTTTAAAGAGTACATATACCTTACAGATATTCTCCATGATTTATAGGTCAAAGGAGATAATGTCAGGGCGTGCTTCAGACTCGTGTAGCAGTGGTGAGAGGACATGGGGTGTGGATGAGGCACAGGGGAGGAGGAGCTGAGGATTGCTGGAAAGACATTGTGGGCATAGGCTTAGGAAGGCTCCTAATATTGTTTCTGTGTAGGTTTGAAATTGTAATCAAAAGTTTAAAATTCAAGAAAGAAAAGAGCCCCGGGATAGGGCAGGTGGGGGTGGGGGGGAAGAGAAGGAAAGAGGGGAAGGAAGAAGGAAGAAAAAATGTGAAACAGGAAAGAAGCACCAGCAGCATTCCCCACCATCTAACATCCAGGACATCATGAACATTCTCTTTATCGAGAACTTCTGTAGAATAAGATGGAACTAAGACTGAAAAGCAGTATCTGTGGTTCACAGCCAGCATTTTGCAGAAGTTTACACAAAAGTCAAAGGCATATATGCTAATCTGAACCACCAGAGAGTTATCAAATCCACTTGTCCTTAGAATGGCAAGAAAAACAAACAAACAAATAAGTGGATATAGATTTAAGGATACACACCTGAAGCCAATACAGCCACAAGAACTGCAGAATTTTTAAAATATAGAGTTTAAACAAAATACAGTAATCTATCATGCCCCAGGACAAGCTGATTTTTATGAAAATTAAAAAAAAACACTGAAGAGTACAAGAACAAAAATACAGTATTAAAACTTTTAAAAAATTACCCATAATTCTTAAGAGTGTGAACTCCTGTGATAGGTATACCTCACATCCCAGCTCAAAAGATGGGATTTTTAATTTTCTTGGGCCTGACCATTTGCTACCTATTGGAAAGTTACTAGAAAATTATCTGAAGCTCCATTAGCAAGGGAAGAAGTGGGCAGAGGCAGTGAGGTAGGTGCACCAAATCCAGCAGGTTTTTGGTCCAAACAGCAAATGGCTAGTACCAAAAATAATCAGCTTCCTCTTCAAAAAGCAGGTAAACAGAGTCATGCCCTGCCTTCTCTAACAACCGGCATTTCAGCTTGAATACATTCTAGCAGGTGGGGAAGACAGGATATTCTGCTACTGAAAGGCTAGACCCAGATCCAGTATGAAGGGGCACTAATGGATGGGCTTTGGGTTGGAAGCAACTCCGAGGAGGGATGGATAAAGAAGTCAACAATCATTTTGAATGCAGCCCAAAGACAACTGTTTGTCCTACAGATTTCTGGGAGGGAGGAGCTACATAGATAGCAGAGTGCATGCCAAGGCTCTGTTGGAGAGGCTACGTTCATCTTTAGGGCTTATTCTTGCCAAGAAATCTGAATACGGTGATGTCAGTGTTTTAATAGGCTCTGGCCACCTGGGAATGAGAATATCCAAAAAAAAAAAAAAACAAAAAAACACCACAGACCATGGAGAGCCATGCACCTGGAAATAGAACATCTGTAAATGAGCTTCCTTATTTTAACTCCAACATGCTCTCTTCTCTCTCTCTCCCACACATAGAAATGGGTTTGGCTGTTTGCATTCTCTCCCTGTTTCTCTCTCTCTCTCTCTCTCTCTCTCTCTCTCTCTCTCTCTCTCTCCCAGATGCACACATTTGCACTTGTGCTCGCTCTCATGTGCGATCTCTCTCTCCCCCTCTCACCTCTTCTCTGGCTTGCCAGATTTGCTTCTCCAGTTCTTCAGGTATCATTTTACCTCTAAGGAACACAGATTTAAGGCTTTCAGTTATGTTTAGTAGTTAACAGGCAATGGTACTGCTTTGGAAACAGTATAAATTTCCCCTTCCACCCACCAGGCTTCCAGATCTTGTCCCCATTACCTTCCATCTGTTTCCACAAAGCACACATTCTGGGTACCAATCCCAAGAAAGGAGGCTGCTTTCTTCATGGAGTAATGACACTGAATTAAAGGGCAAGAGAGGAGGGAGAGAGATGAATGCATAGCATGAAAAATGTATTAGCTATTATTTAAATAAGCATGTCTTTATAGTTGAGCACAATATTTGGAACATTATTGCATAAAAGAAAAAGATAACAGTAATTTAATTCCATTCCTTAGTGTAATGGCTGAGAACATTGACTTTGGGGTCAGAGGAACCAGGATTTATGAACAAATAATGCACACACTCTGAACCTCAGTTTGCTAATCTATAAAGGGATTGTATCGATAACGTGCTTTCCATCAGCTTATTAGAGAATGAAATGGGTCAAAATACAAAAAGGGATGGACACAAAGCCAAACAAACGGAACAAACTTGGTCACTGATGGTTATTATTCTCTATAACGTGGAGAAAAGTTTCTCTTGATGCTCTAAGGCTCACTATTAATGGAAACTTAGAATCTAGTCTGTAGCTGACTCAAAATCCTCTAAGGAGAGAGTAAGAATGTGTATCAAAGATTGCAATCACAGACTAAAGAAGAATTTAATTATTTCCAAGAGAAAACAATGGGTTATAAATGCTGATCAGACACATGACCAGTCTTATTTAATATTGAATGTAAGGCAGAAATTAAATCATATAGGAATGAGGCTAAAGTCCTAAGAATAAAACTAATATTAATTTGTAGAAATTCTACTTTACGCAGCTGTGGCATGAAGGAGGCTTATAGATGCTTCTGGAATGAGGTCTGGTCCATTTCTTTTTAGCAAATAGTGGAATATTCTTTAGATTGTTTGGCCTTCCCCCTACCACCACATGCCGTCTATAAAATAATTAGTATTTGAACGTTGGAGATGTCGTTCTTTATATATTAGTGAGGACAGGTGGTCAATTAATTCTTTTTCATGCCAGAAAAATGAAGGTGCTAAAGGACATTATTGTACCAAAAAAAAACCTTAGTAATTTAATTTGTAGGTATGAATACATTAAAAGAGTAGTCATGCCTTCACACTTAACTTGATGAATTCCCTCAAATGTGGTAATTTTTTCCTTCTTTTGTCAAGAGAGTTTTATTGGGAGCTCTTTTTTTAACTCTGTAAAAATAAAATGCAGAAGTAACACCATCAGGAAAAAAATGAAACCATCCTAAATAATTAATTTCCAAATATCAAATAGGACACATCCAAAATGCCTGTAGGATGTATTTATTTCAGGTTGTTACAAGAACATATGCATATTGAAGAGAAATAATGTACATGAAAATGTAATTAATTCTCCACTTGATACATCAGCCTATGCTGGTTGGAGGTAACAGGCCTGCCAGAGCGAAGGTGACAGAGCTAAGGTGAATTATTTCTCACCAGAGATCTGAGCTATGGCAACAAAACAGCTATTGATTTCATAATGATAAACGCTAGCCTACCTCCACCAACATCTGACTGTAGGGGAAATCACAGTGCTTTACTCCTGAGAATTAGCAAAATATCTCCAACCAATAGATGTGCTGAATAAAAAATTTGTAATCAGACTAAGAATAGCTTCAGTGGAGCTGTCTTTAAGTACCTCAGGGCAAAGTACAGCCCAAAGTCAATCTCAAATGGATAGGGACAGATAAAAAGTCTGTAAAACTGAAGTCTAAACATCTGAAAACATCCAAGAAGGCAAGAACCCTGGAAGGGGAACAGAAAGAGAGAGAGGGGGATGCTTCTGACATGCTGAGTAGTTTCAAGGCAAGGAAAACCCTGGAAGGCTGGAATTCAGAAGTAACCATCGCATTTAGAAACAAACGACGGCTGTTCCCATCACTGGCAAAAGATAAGGCAGTCGTTCTGAGACCAGACCTCCAGGTAGGTTTCATAAATCTACAGAAAGCACAAAAATCTCAGCGGGTGCTCATTTCTATCAAGATAAAACAGAAAGTGCCTACATGAAAGACAGCATTGAGCTGAAGTTTTACTTTCTGGTTCCTGCAAGGATTTCTTTTTTTTTTTTTTTCCCTTATGACCTTGGATTTCTCAATGAACTGCTGCTCTCTCCTCAACATGCACTGTGCCCTGGACATGTGGACTCCTTCCAGGGCTGACTATTTTGATATTCAAATTAGCTGGTAGGGAGAGTGGAGTTGATAAATGTTACATGTTAAGGAAGAATGAAATGAAATAGAATCCAGGGGATCTCTTCAAAAACACACTGTAGGTTCAATTCCTAAAGAGACAGAATTAAGAATCCAGGTGGATGGATTTAGCCTTATGCTTATCAGGAGAGCCCAAGGTACCCCTGTGTGCTGTCGAGAAGACTGGAGGTAACATCCCAGCCCAACTCAGTGAGGCACCAGGGTACAGAGTGTAAGGAGGGACAACCCTTAGCCACGCACCCCCAACATCTCAATTGCCCCCTCCAGCAAGGACCCTGACAAAGATAAACTAGTCCCATTGGTCACTGGTAATGGGAGGTGAGTTTCTCTGTACTTTCACCTTTCAATGGCGGTCAGTGATCACTACTTTATGTGGATTCCTAAAATGATTTGAATTACTCAGGAACTTTGCAAATCTAATATTTCAGCATGCCTAAGGAATTCATATCAAAGAACAAATCAAGTCATAAATTTATGACTTCAATTACTTTTCTCCAGAATTTCCTTTCTCTTTGCCATTTAGCACCTGGGAGGCTGTTTTGGACATATTGATAGCACAGGGGGGACTCTGTTAGATCTTGCAGATCTCTACCTATAGCTGGATCCAAATTCAAACCTGAACAATGCAAAAATGGTGCAAGACAGAGATAGAGTCACCTGGGGAAGCATGAAAACTGAGGGGTGGGGGGACACCTAATAAGACAGTAGAGGAACACAACCTCTGGGCCATGGACCACACACCTAAAACAAACAAACAAACAAACAAAAAAAAAAAACAAAGATCTAGCAAAAATCTTCCATAGGATTGAAGACTATTTAGTAAAAACAACATTCTTTAATTTTTCTTAACAAGAGAATAGATTGAATTGTTATAATAAGAGTAAAGGTGGTTATTAAATTATAAATTAAAGTAATGCAAATGCCATGCCCCAGTCTCTTCAGACAGATCAGGGAAGGCATGAGCTACAAAGTGGAGTCTGGAGGGAGGGAGTGAAAATATATATTCAAGGCCACAGTAGGCTCACAGAGTTGGAATTTTTCTGGGGAATTCACATCCAGCTCTTGGATTTTCTGGCGCCAACTTCTACCGGCTTGTTATCCATGGCATACATTTTGCCTCTTGGGAAAAACAAAACAAAAACAAAAACAAAAGCCGAACAACCTCACTGAATCCCTGAGCTCTGGTTTCACAATGACATAAGAATTCCATTTCTTGCAACTCTCCATTCCCCAATCACACTTGTGTTACAGGTCTTTCCCAGGTGTGATGTTTAATCTAGGCTTTCAACATGATTTCTTCTCCCTTTCCAGGGCAATTATGCCACAAAGGAAATGCTAGCAAATTTTAAAACAAAATGAAAAAAGGGCAAAAGTAAAAGTACTGAACAGACAGCCAGGTCCCATTTCATCAGTTTTCCCAGGCTTGGAACTGGCGACCCAAACATTGAAAGGTCGGTGCTTTTCTGATCCACTAAGTTTCCTCAGACTGAAATATCCAGGCTGGAACCTGGAGAGGGAAGCCCTATTCTGCAATAATCCCAAATAACCAGGTATGTTCCGCAGTTGTCCCCATTATTATTCTTCTCTTGCTACAGAAAGAACATAGTATGAAGAAGGGTTGTGGGTGGCTGGGTCAAGGATCTGAACAGATGACACTTCCCAGGGGACTCCTCTCAGGTACTTCCTACCACTCAACTCCTGCTCTGCACCTTAGTGCTGATGCAAACAGTGACAGTTAGACAGGACAGGAGGAAAACATGGGGGTGGCTGGACTTCCTTGCACTTTGGGTCACTCTGGGCACAATTTGTTGTTTTGCAATAATTAGAATAAAATAACAGATTTAGAAAAGCCCAGCTGGAAATTATATAGAGATTTCAGATTTTGCCCACCTCAAGTTGTTGATAAGAGACCTAGTATTCTCACAGAAGGTGAAGAAGCTAAACTTTCTTCCAGGGACCTGGGGAGGAAGCAGTGTCAGAAGGACAAAGGAATCCACTGGAATCACACAGAAATAGAAAAAGGAGAAAATAAGAATCTTCTAGATAAGACTATACTTAAGCTGTGCCATCCATTTCTACCCACGTCTTATAGGTGGCTTGTTCTCCTCCTATTAATAGTAGCTAATATTTTTGATATCCATGATGTCCCAGATTCATTTAGTCTTTGCAACTACTCACTCATCAGTGACTATTATGTAGTTGCTGGGCTGCCTTATGGGCCCAGCTGTTCACTGCTACCTATATCTTTCAGGTGACTGCAGCATGTTTCCTTAAAGGTATAGTCTATTTCCCATGGATCTGGGTTCAGAGATGAGACTTACTTTGTCATGAAAATAAGGCATAGGTGACAATGTGTCAGTTCTGAGGCTAGGACTCAAGAAGCTCAGTATGTTACCATATTGTTGATCACCTACATGGCTGCCATGAGAACATACCAAGACTACATGCCAGGGGCTGATAGACATAAGGGGTGGAGGAGAGCCACTGCAGTTGTCCCGGCTGGGCCATTCCTACATCAGCAATTAGCCCGCCAGTCCCTGGACATATAAGGCACTGTCCAGCCAAGGACAGCAGAACTGCCTAGCTATCCTGAGACTTATAGGTGATAATACATAGTTTTAGTTCTAAGCTACTAGGTTTTAGCATAATTTATTGGGTATGAGGATTGATACACTCATTTTTACAAATTAGGAAACTGAGGCACAGGGAAGATAATCGAGTTATCCAATGTCACTCAAATGGGAAGTGACGGGGATGGTTACTGAATCCAGCCAGTCCAGCTCAAAGCCAATGCATGTATCTACAACCTGACCTTGGACTTCAGTGAAGTGTAAGATTAGAGACAGGAGACTGTGGCAACATAAAATTGTATGTGTGTGTATGTGTGTGTGTGTGTGCACACGCATGCGTGCAATGTTGTTACCAAATATCTTCGTTTCACCTTGAAAATGAAAATAAGAACCCATTATATTAGCCAATTAAAGCAATTTTACAAGAAAATGTGAGTAGAAAACATAGCTGAGAACAGTAGCGGTCATCTAAGTTCTAAGACAAAGGATACTCATAGAGAAAAATGCAAAGATAGCACTTCAAATGAAAGATTCTTGACTCAAAGAAAATGTAACATACTATAATTTTTTTTTCAAAAGGTGATGTACAAAATTGGATGGCCAGGGTTTCAAAACTAGGCCCATCAGAATTCCCTTTGGAATGCAATATTATATTATACCTAGGCATATTAATCACAAGAGTGTAGGATACAATTACAACAAGGGTCCTCAAACAAATGAGTTCTCTTAAATAATGTATACCCAGAAAAATGTATGTCTAATAATAAGAATAATGTTTTACCTCTGCAGATGTGAAAAGGGTTAATCTTGGCAACCCAAACAGTCCCTTTTCTTTAATATCAGGACAATATTTGTATCTAGCTAAATTCATTGCATACATATTGGACACTGAACCACCTGCAAAAACAAAATTTAAATGTCATGGCATGAAGTTATACTACTTAAAGTACCGAATACAGTAGAAAGCAGGGATGTTCATGACTGTTCTAGGCTAAAGATGCCAATGTAAAAGGCACCCAAGTACCACCCTCCTCCCGTTACTCTTAATATTCCTTAATCACCAACTCCAGAACTTTTCAATGTCAGCTGAGACAGAAGCTTTGGTCTATTTTCTCATTTCAGTGGTTTTCCACACTTAAAAACTTTCAGTGTTTGAGCTTCGTACCCAAGTCTCCATAATTTTCTTTCTTTCTTTTTTTTTGTATCAGGAATTGAACCCAGGGGCACTTAGCCACTAAGTCACATCCCCAGTCCTTTTTTTATTTTTTCTTTTGAGACAGGGTCTCCCTAAGTTGCTTAGGACTTTACTAAGTTGCTGAGGCTGGCCTTGAACTTGTGATCCTCCTGCCTCATCCTCCCAAGTAGCTGGGATTGCAGGTGAGCACCAGCAAGTCTGGCCCAAGTCTTCACATAATTAGTAATATTCTTTCTGTATGTCCCCTGATCAAGAAAATTGAAATAAAAATAAATGCTCATCTCTGGGTCAAAAAATAATTGTAGGATAAACAAATGAACTTTAGGAAATTTCTCTAGTAAAATTGGTTTTAAAATTTGGAGGACTTATCATTGCCTTTCCAAATTCCCAACAGCAGACAAGTTCATTCGTGTTAGACATAAATCCTAAATTGTAGACATTTTATTTGTTAAGTATGTATGTCATTTATTTAGCATTTATGCAAAATATTATCACTCTGGAGAAAGGCATAAGCTATTTGCTTACCAAGTAGCATCATTAATACCCAATTTTCTGTAATATGTAAATCTGCAAGGAGTTTTTTTTTTTTTCAAATGAATACGATTTTAGATGCTCATAGTGGAAGGGTGACGGCAATAACTAATTGTACTCACCTGGGTTAAATATTCCATCCCCTTCTTTCCAGCCAATAAATTCAATCATTTTCTTCAGAACCGCTTCTTCCACTAACAGAAACACTGGGGACACCTCATACGTATAACTAGATAGATATAAAAAACACTTCACTTCTATGACTAGAGTCAAAACATCCCTTGGGTGTCCCAAGAAATGCACAGTTTTATTAAACCAAGTGGCTTCTGAGATGTAGGTCGTCTTTGGAAATTCATCCATTGGAAATAAAGAATTGCTCCCTCAGTAATAGCATTGGGCATGGTTAGATAATGCCAGGAGCCAGTGGTGTAGGAGACAGGCAAGCTATTTCAGCAGCCCTAGTTGAGAAGACACCATCAATTCCATGAGGAGAGAACAAGGCAGGGTTTTGAGATTCTTGGTATTAGCCATAGGCAGTGGTGTATCAGTATTTGAATACTTTGGATGCTGCACTGGATGCTGATGTTGGTTACAGAAAAGCCATTGTCTTGGAAACCAGGTTTTATTAGATTACTACTAGGAGCATGCTAACAGCCAGGTCTAGATGTTTTACATGGAGTCACCCCTAACTGTGGCTCCCTCCACCACACTCCATGAATCAAAACAGAGGAGAAGTATTCTGGGGAACAGCTCTCACTGTGTGATGATCCGACTGCAAACTCTATCCAGATTCCTCCTCCGTGAAGCACTTGTGGCTCTAGTCTGGAATGCTGTTGTCAGAAAGCCTTGCTACATCAGCCCTGACTGGGAAAGCCTCGGCTGCAGGGAGCCGCCTCCTCCAGATCACATCCCTTCTTGTGGCAGTCCATACATAATGACTGGTCACTCCAGAGATCTCGGCGTGAGATCTAGAGATCTACTCCAGAGATCATCTTTGAGGCTGCCCAGCAGCTTGACTTCTATCCCTACACTCCTGCCTCCTATTCCCCCACTTTCCCAGCCACTCAAGTTCAGGACAAGGTTACTCCTTAATGAGCATCCACTAAAAAGGGACTTCCCAGGGAACCCACATGACATCAGTTATTGCACCTTGTTTTGTAATGTTTGAGTCTCTTTTCTCCTCCAGATAACTTGAGGATGACTAAACATCTCTAATCTCCTACTCAATTAGGTGATTACATTAAATTGTATCTGAATAAATGTGTTCTCTAAATATGTAGGCTAAGTAGATTCATTTAGATTTATAGTCACAGAATTTGATGCAATTATTTTAACATCTGGAAGGGAAAGCTTTGGAATGGAGGCAAAAACATTAAATATCTACTCGGTATCACCTACCTATGTGCCAAGAACTCTACAAATACTATACCATTTAAAATCCAAGATAGGCTCTGTTTTCAACCACACTTTGAAAACAGTTTACACACATACTAGAGGTGCGAAAAACACGTATACATTCAGGTGTACCTAAAATATTAATAGAATAATCATTCTTTTTTTTGTAACAAAGAGGATTACATGTACTAATGAAAACTAGCTCAACTGTACATCTGGGAAAGGGGCTTGCAGGTGGAGAGGATGATAGAGAACACACTCAAGGATGAGCCACATTTTGAATGGATGGTTCAGTTTGGCAGCAGTTTAACACTTATAAAAATTTCTCAATTTTTCAGATTAAATACCTGTGACAGCCAAGGGTTCAAAAAGTCATGTAATCTTTGTTATTTATTTATTTATTTATTTTTGGTACTGGGGATTGAAATCAGGTGCACTTGACCACTGAACCACTTCCCTTGCCTATATTTTGTATGTTATTTAGAGACAGGGTCTCACTGAGTTGCTTAGCACCTTGCTTTTTCTGAGGCTGGTTTTGAACTAACTATCCTCCTGCCTCATCCTCCTGATCCACTGGGATTACAGGCATGTGCCACCATGCACAGCCACAGAGTTGTGTAATCTTATTGTCTTTTCCAACTTATGTATTACCTCTTCTTCTGCATATGGTAGCTGTTTTTTGCTCTCATTATTGCACCAAATATCTCTGAGGTCACCCATGGCATCCATGTGGTAATTGGGTGGACACTGCTCAGTCTTTGTCTTAGCTAACTGCCCAATAACATATGACCCTAGACAAACTCTCCTCCTGGCTTCCATACCTATCCCCTTGATTTTCTCCTGGTCTCTCTTTACTGTGGGCTGATCCGGCTCCTCCTCCTAATTAATTGTTGGATGCCCTCAAGGCCCAGTTGAGAAGGAAACAGCTCCCTTCTCTCCTTATTCTATGCTCTCTCCTCATGATAGTGATTCTCTCTCCTGGCTGCCCACTAAAATCACATGCAATATATCCCTATATGAGGCACACACAGGGAAATTCATATTTAATTGGTCTGTAGGATCCAGGCACCAATTCTGTTTTCAATGGTTCCCAGGTTGACTCTAGTGGGCAGTGGGGAGTGAGAATCACTGGTTTTGGCAATCTCGTGCATACCCACTCTTCATTCCAATTACCGTCATTTCACACAATGACTTTTTATTTCCTATAGATACCAGAATTTCTGGCCCATATATGTCTCAGATTACTTGGTCTTTCTTGTTGTATAACTCAAACTCAAATGTCCACAATTGAACATTAAATTCTTGATCTGGGCTTTTCCAATGAATACTTGAAAACTGGTCCCCTCTCCCAAGGCCTCCCGTATCGATGAGTGACATGACCATGAACCAACTATGAAAGCCTGAAACCTAGGTATTATCTTAGAAACTTCCCCCTTGTCCCCATTTCCAACATCCAACATATTATCCCAGTCCTTCATATTTTATCTTCCAAACATATTTTTTTTCCCCTCTCTATTCCTTCTGCTTCCACCTAAGTCCAAACTGCTAAGGTCTCTCATCTGACTAAGGAGATGCCTTCCTGACAGATCTCCTCCAATGCTCTCTCCAAATTTCTAGCAATCTTTTTAATAGCAAATGTCACCAAGTGATTTAGAAACCTTTAAGAACTTTCCAATGTACTTAGAATAACTCATGAACATACTCCACAAGGCTCTGCATGTCTGGCTTCTATCTCTCTCCCCCATATTATCCTCCTCTACACTCCCTGTTGCTCTGTCAGCTACACCCACATTGACCTTTCCATTCATGGAGTATATCATGCTGCCCCCACCACAGGGCCTTTATATGTGCAATTCCTTCTACTGGAAACCGGTTCCTCCCATTCCACCCAGTTAACTGTTATTCATCCTTCAGCTCTTAGCTGTCACTTTTTCAGAGAAAAATTTCCTAAGTTCACAACTAGAAAAAAAACTTCCCCACTTACACTTACGGCACTGTGCACCTCTCCTGCACTTAAGAGACTGAATTTTACATTAATGCCAATTTTTACTAGCATGGCTCTTTCTCTCACCAGATTTTATGCTTCATGAGGACACAATCGAGGTTGATTTTTATTCAAAGTCTCTCTGTCACTGAGCACAGATGGTTTTTCATGCAGGAATGAATGAAAATTTGCTTAGTCCATGTTCTCCTCTGTTCAATGAAGGTAACATGGAGGTTACCTGCCTGACCCTTCTTACGGTACCACTGTTCAAATGGCTGCTTGAACACTGGTGTCATAAGACTATCCCATGATTTATGATAAAAGAAACCATTAAACAGAAATTCACGAAATAAAATTGCATCTATTTAAGAAAACATCTCTTATCCTTGTTAGGTGAGAAATTCCAGGAACGTGGCACTTACATGCTGGGGTTTAATGCTTCTGTCATAAATCGGGCCGCCAAGGAGTAATAATCAAGTCCAGCATACAACTGGTTGAAAAATCTTGGGTGGTCTGTAAATTTAAAACAAAGTATTCACTATACAGTAATCAAAAGAAAAAGTATCAGTACAATAATAACATGAATACATCAGACAATGAAAGTGACAAGACACAAAAGAATATGCATAGCATAATCCCATTTATAAGATACTCAAAATCAGCCAAAATCAGCAAATCCACCTATGGAGAGAGACTTTAGAACTCTGGGTATGCTGGGGAAGGAACTGTTGACTGGGAGAGGGATTGAGGAGCCTCTGGGTGTTAGAAATGTCCCCAACCCTGACTTGGGTGGTGGCTTCATATGTACAGAGGTGTGCAAATTTATTGAGCTGAACATGAAAGATTTACACACTTTATCAAATAGGAATTACACTTCAGTTTTAAAAAACATCCAAAAGAAAATTTTATAGGAAAGTGATATTGAAGACCTTTCTCATCACCCTCTCTATTGCCTGATGTTTCTAAGTAAAACTTGAGCCTTCTTTTAAGAGCTCTGATGACATCCTGCTCTTTACCATCCACATCTAACTCGAACCCTTGAGAAATGGATCTGAACACTGTTGGCCCAAGTACCACGGCCTGCTGCCTTTATGTCCTGAAAGTAGTAGGGTTGACTTCCCTCACTTCAAATGCATTTCACTCACCAATAGGGTTCACCTCAGGCTACAGGCTGCCAGGGGCCTTTGCATTTTCCAGATTGGATGGTATGGTTGCCATTATGTAGATGGGGATGTGACTCATCGTGCAGCGTACTTACACTTTATGATTCAACTGACTTCAAACACAGCCTCCTTTAAGATTCAACATCTAGTTCCAATTTTCCACCTCTTTTTTTTTTCTCATATGAAAGGTCCCAAAAGGTTCTTGGCTTAACACAGTACGGATATTCACACCAAACACCAGGCTAACTGGCTTGGCATTCTCAGTCATAGGAAGCTCAGCAGGACAAGGAACAAAGAGATAGGAGGTCTAGTTCTAATTTTAGGATTCAGGAACCATTTTAGTTAGTGACCCCTCATTACAATTTACAGAATTTAACTTGAATGCTCTTCTTTCTTCTTTAAACTAAGAATTCAATAAAGAAAAAAATAAATCTCAAAAGAAAATGTCTTTTCAATTAAAACATGGAAAACTTCCTCTGATCTGGCAAAGGAAACCAGACATTGCTACAAGTAATTTTAATAAGATTTTTTTTTAGTTCTGTGTTAATTTATGATTGATTTCCATGGTAACATTATGGAAAATATCCAGTAAACTAAAAAATCTACTGCATTAAATGTCATTCTACACTTCTGACATGCACTATAATAATAAGATATGTATCTCTGCTTTTGAAATGCTAACTGAATTTTTGATACATACACCAGACTTTCCCAAGGGAATATAAACCAATTATATTTAGCCAGGATTTTATTATGTTCTTTCCACTAAATTTAGTCCAGTGTCAGAATTCACAAAGCATAATATGCCTATATGGTTTTCAGCACTGGATTACCTTCACAATCACACACAGAAATGCATACTTTGGAAAGTTATTCTCCCACTTTTGAAATTTGCTCATTGGGTGTATAAGTCATTAACAGTCAAGTTGGAAGAGTGCTTCCATGTAGGACTGATGTCAAGCCACTGCATGTACAACATATCACAGTGGCTGTGGCATTAGTGTGAAGCAATCACAGCAAAACTTGCCACACTTTCATTTTGCTTATATCTGCCTGAAGGTTTTCATTTTTTGATCTTGCCAGATATGATAAAAATAATTTAGCGATTATCAACTGCCAAGAGTTAATCAGTGTCTTCCAGATAAATCTCTTCCTGTTTACATTACAGATATGTTCTTGAACATATTTTTTTTGCATATTCTAGAAAAGCCATAAAGACTTAAAATCCCTTGGCAAATTCATAGAATCAAAATATCATTTGCCAGTTTGGACCAACTCAAGAAATGATAAGTAGCAGTGATAAAAATATATGGTCTTGTTTATAGATGGAGGATGGAGACTGGCAAGGAACAGATAATATTTACATTAAACACCAACACCAAAATTTTTACTATTATCTTTGAACTTGACAACAAATCTGGATTAGGAATTAAATGAACCACTGTAAAAACATCATAACCACTATTTTTTTTTTAAATCTAGGTTTCTCATTCCATAAACATTACCAGAATTGCTCTTTTAAGAGGTAACTAAATGCTTTAAAAATCTAAGAACCTGTCAGAAGTATAGTTGAAGGAAGTAAACTGAGGTTCTTACTTGTTTTGACGCTGAAGCGTATGACATCCTGGCAGAGTTTTAACAGCCGGTCATGTGATTCACCTGTGTCTCTCACCTCCAAATCAAGAAGCTTTTTCAGTTGTTCAGGAGGCTGCCACTCACACACCTGGAGATTCAGCAACAGCATGTAATTAACTGAGCATGGCAGAAGCCCAAGTTCAGGAAGATGTTAGAAGCACCTACTTGACCCTTACAAAGCTCCCAGATAATTGGGAGATGTGGAGATCTGAGCATGTCACCCTACTTCAGCACACAAGAGCTATGAGAATAATGCAGATACTGTTGGAACAGAAGAGAGGTCTTAGATCTTCAAAGATTTCCTGGAGGAACCTATATCCAAGTTGTGACACAAAATAAAAAAAAAGACTCAAGCAAAAGTTACCTGTCCATTTCCCCAATCTCTATCAGTGTCTCCCTTTCTCTTATTGTGTCCACAGCATTTATAATGTTTCAAATACTGTGTTACTCACTTATTATGACCTACCTAATCTTCATGAGAGTGGAGAACTTGGTCTATTCATTCACTGATTCCAAGCAAGTAACATAGAGCCTCCAAAAGAATAGGTGCTCAATACAGGGGTACTGAATAACTAGATGAATAAGTGGAGAGATAAAGCTAAAACATGGCAGGCTTTATGAGAACTACTACTGAGCTTGCTTTGGCTGAGAAACTCATTAAAATGTTCAAGATAGGGGAAGGAAATGGTCATATGTGTTTTAGACAATAACTTTACTTGATAAGTAGAAATTCCAAATGAATTAGAAAAAGGAGGTAACTTTAATAGATCAGGCAAGAGAAGATGGTTGTTTGGATAAAGGTAGGTGCTTTAGAAAAGAAGTATATGGTTTCTAGAGGTATTTCGAATGCAGAATCAATAGAACTTGGAAATGAGTAAGATGGTTAGGATGAAGATGAGGGACAAGTCAAAGAGAATTATGAGGTTTCTGTCTTAGACACAAGATCTTATGGTGGCAACGAGACAGCTGGAGAAGGGTCTGTTTGGAAGTAGGGTGAGGATGATGACTTAGACTTAGTTTAAGTCACCCTTAGAACATCCAAAAGGGGTGTAGCACTCAGTCTGATGCTCTTGTTAAAGATCAGGGTCAGAGATGGATGTCACAGTCCAGAGAGAATCTACAGAGAAGAGGAGAAGGCACAGGAACACTTAAGGGATGGGCACAGGAGCTCACCTTGCAGGTGGAGGACAGGCCAGGAAGGGAGACTAGGAGAACTTGACACCACCAAAACCAAAAATGAAGAATGTTTTAAGGAGAAGATGGTGGCCACTGCCAAATACTTCTGAGATGCCAAATGAGATAAAGACTGAGAAGTGTTCATGGGATTTATCAACAAGGAGGTGTTCTTGGCAAGAGCAGTGTGACTTAGAGAGGTGCGGGTGGAGGCCAGATTGTGGTGAAGTGAGGATGTGGGAGGTGACAAAATGGAGGGAGGGAGTGTAGACAATCTTGAAAAAAAAAAAGTTTGCTTGTGAAATGGGGAGGAGAGAGACCAGGGAATAGCCAGGGAGTGAGAAGCCTGGGAGGTGGGAAGTTGGGGAAAATAGCAAGTTGTGCGAGAAGCATGAAATTAAACTGATGGTGTAGCTATGACCGGAAGAGGGGATAGCACAGTGCCTAAGACAGCCCACATAAATGTCTGTGGATACACTCACAGTGTGGATGAGTCTCGAATGAATTTTGATAAGGGAGAACAGCAAGTCTCAAAAGGCTACTTCTGACATGATGCCATCTGCACGACACCCATGGAAAAGACAAAAACTACAGGAAAGAAAATAGACCAGTGGTTTTCCCAGGGGCAGGAGGGGCCATGAGTGGTTGGTTATGAAGGGGCACGGGGAAATTGGGAGGGAGATGAAACTGTTCTATATCTTAATTGTGGTGATGGTTGCATGACTTGTCAAAGTTCATGAAACTGCACATCAAAAGGAGTATACTTTACTGAATCTAAATTATAAATCAAGTTTTTAAAAAATGGCTGAGAAAGAATGCCTACTAGAGAGGGCACTAGGAGTAATCATCTCCCCAAGAGTATTGCAGGTCACCATTTAATTGTGTCCTATTGAATCTCAGACAAAGGTCAAGTTAGTGGTATAAAAACTTTACCTCCATCCCCAGCCCCTAAATGCTTTTAATCAAACTTCATATGAATGGACATCCTGCACATCTACCATACTGTGTTCCATGTGTGCTTCCTTAATCGATAACTTAGGATCACAAGCCTCACAACTCCAATTAGTACCCTGTGTATGAGCCTTTCTTTCCAAATAAAAATAAAAATAAAAAGCCCTTTGCTATATTCGATACATATTTCTTTTTTTCTTTTTTCTTTTATTTTTGTACAGTGAACCCAGGGCACTCTACCACTGAGTTACATTCCCAGCCATTTTTATTTTTATTTTGAGATGGGGTCTCACTAAATTGCTTAGGCTGACCTCAAATTTGTGACCCTCCTGCCTCAGCTTCCTGAGTGGCTGGGATTGTAGGCATGCACCCCTGCACTCGGGTGCATCTTGGCCTTCTGCAATACTCTTTCCATTGTTTATATTTCTGCTTTCTTTAATATCCCTAGAAAGAAGCATGCCCACTGGAGATTTCTCTCTACCCATCAAAATCTTACTCAAACTTTACACTCTGCATCAAAGTTCAAAGTTCCCATTTTTCTATGAAATCCCTAAAGTCTGCCCCAAACTCACAGCATTTATCACATTCTCACTGGGACCTCTTTTCTCTTTTTCCAATGAAAATTTATCCTTCCAATTAGATTGTGAATTCTGTTCAAAGCTGGGTCTTTATCTTATGTTTCTTTGTATCCTCTAGGGCTGAATATAATGCCTCACCAGTAGCTAACACTCAGTTAATATTTAATGACTGAATAAAGGCCAATTTAAAAACATACTTGCCAGAGGAGCAGTGGGCTCCAATGCAAACCAGGTCCAAAGTATTTCACAAATACAGAGAAGACCAAAAATATGCAATTATAAATATATAATTTGAATGGATAAGAAATACCATCAGCACTTTTGCCTTGAACGTAACTATTCCAAGTTCACAGGTCATATTAACCTATTCTGTTGGTTTTCTCAAAGGAATATGACCAAAAATTCAGAATAAATACCACCACATTCAAAAACCTTTTAATATGAGTTCTATTTCCTGCTAATATAATGGGAGGGTCTCTCCCATATGCTCATTTGTTAGTAATCCAATTCCAACATGAAAACTGATGAGTGTCATAAAAGGTAATTTAGTGATTTTTAGAGGTATATGAAGAAGTTAAAGAGTGAAGATTCTAATGCTAGATTGCCTGCAGTTTAGCTCCAGCTCAGATACTCACTAGTGGGTGATATTGGGCAATGTATTTGATCCCTGTATGCCTAACTTTTTCCCTCATCACTAAAATGGGACAGTAATTAGTACCTGTCTTTAGGGTTTTTTAATTTTAATGTTTAGTTTTTAATTGACACTTAAAGATTGTACATATTTATGGGGTCCATGTGATATTTCAATACTTACATACATCAAATAATGTTCAAATCAGGAAAAGCATATCTATCTCCCCAAGGATTTATCATTTCTCTGTAATGGAAATATCCAAAATCCTTTCTTTTAGCTTTTGTGAAATATATGGTACATTATCTACAGTCACCCTATTGGGCAATAGAATATCAAGGAATTTATTTCTCCTCTAAGTTAACACCCCTTGACCACCCATTCCCCATATCTGTTTCCCCCATTCACCCCAGGCTCTGTTAACCAACATTAAGGATTAAATGCACAAATACATATGAGGTAGTACTTAGAACAGAGCCTAGCATGGAGTAGATACTCTTGAGAGTCAATGTTATTATTAGTAGTTCTAATAACAATTTGAAACTGAATTTGAGCTTGTATTTCAAACCTAAAATAAGTAATTGGTATCAGACAGGGATCAGATTTAATAACCCAAGATTTCTAGTCTAAGCTCAGACAAGATTCTGGGAAGGAATGTTAGATTAATAAAAAGATATTTCATAGCCTTTTCAACCTTCTGTTTGATTTTTCACTTGCAATATGAAGGATATTTACAATAAAATAGAGAGGAGTTGGGGGATGAAACTTAGTGGGAGTGCTTATGAAGTATGGATGAGGCCTTCAATTCCATCCCAAGCAAAAGAAAGAAGGAGAGAGAGAGAGAGAGAGAGAGAGAGAGAGAGAGAGAGAGAGAGAGAATGGGGTGGGAGTTGGGGAAGGAAGGAAGGAAAAATAAAATAAAATAGAGAAAACAGTATGTTTTAGAGTGTACAAATCATAGCAGCAGCAGATTATTTATAATCCATATTACTACCAAGGGCAGGAAGCTTCATCACTGTGTTTCAGAGCCTTATCTGGTTAAGCCCTGGGGTCTCAGTTGATCTCCCAACAAATGATGGCTGACAAAAGTCAATCCTCAGGGAAGGTAGACACTGGGTGGGGATCAAGGAGGGAAATGACCCAAACACTGGTATCTGGAAATCATCCCTTGAGACAAAGGTCCCTGGGAAATGAAAGCCTGTATTTTTCATTTTCCTTATATAAAGCCAAATAGATATGGGAAAGATCTATTTTTCCCATTTCTGCCTCAGTCTCCCAAATGACTGAGATTATAGACATGCAACACTGAGCCCAGATTTTTCATCCAGATAAATTATTTTTACCTTTTCATTGATATCTGTAGCTTTCAAAACCACCTCTTCCATTATTAGCTTACAGGCCTCTTCAACAAATTTTTCTCCAGTTTTTGCATCTGTTGTAGGGCCATTCAGTACAACCCCATCCACAAGAACAGCACTCTTCTTATTTGGAACCATCTCTTGCTGATCAATATCGCCTAGAAGCACAAAGACAAATTGTGTTTGAGAGGTAATCTATTTATCTCATACAGTGAAACACAGGCTGGATGAAAAAAAATAAAAGAAAAAGAAGGAAAAAAGAAACAGGATCACTACCCCAGCTCCAAGTGGTATACCTTCTTTTAATACATGAAGGTACCATTAGAGGTATTGAAATCAACAATTTCTTATGGTACCCAGTGGCATGACAGAGCTAAGGAAATTTCATAAAGCTTATGATTTGTGGGTAAGTAAATCTACCTTATTATCTGTGCTACTCTATGCTAGGCTGAGTTAGCACATGGAGTGAATGACCCCTGTTCAGTATAATTTCAGGTCTGATCAGGAAGGGTGCATTGTATGCAACATTTCCCATGCTGAATGATGATGAAGTTGCAAAAGTAATGCCTTCCATAATTAGAGATTTGGTCTACAAAACTATCACACCTAAAAGAGAGTAGAACGTTTTCTGGCATTCCCAAACATATACCAATGATTGCCATCAGATCCCTTCCTTAGATACATTCCTCCTCCCTCCACAATAGGGTGTGTGCTAAAGGGAGGGGAACTAGGCATTTGGAGAAGAGGAAGGAGAAAAAGAGGCCTTCAAATTTTACCTGGAATCAACACCACTTTTATTTTGTAAGTAGCCCTTTGAAATATAAAGCATATTTGTTCTAACTTTCAGAATCTGGTACACTGAGTAGATAAATCATACAACTGAGGTAGCAGGCTTAGGTCTACATTTCCCTAAGCAAATTAACTCAGCATTTCTGAGTCCTCAGAGGAAACTCTGTGCAGAAGTAAAGGAAATGGCACCTGTCCAGATACAGATTGTTTTCCTCAAGGAAGCAATAATGCACTTCTGCAGTGGAATACCAAATTGAATTTTATAAAGTTCCATCCTGTATTTGATGTATCTGAATTACAGAAGGACCTGAGAGGGATCATCTGGTCACCTTCAAAAAAGTAAATATTGAAATCTTCAAAGGCAGTGAGAGCTATCTGCTTTCTTCCTAAAAGACTGGCTCGCATAAGCATGTTTCTCTAAACGTAAGTACCCGTTTCCTTTAGGTATATGTAGTTCTTGGTCTGTTTCTCCATGAACTAAATGTCAACATCTGCACAGGAAGATGGTTCTATTTTCCTTTCGTGAAGCATGCTGTTTAGCATCAGGGAGCATGGAGGAGCTCAAGAAAGGCAAACACAGCACACATATTTTGAACACATGCATGGAAAGATCTTGGTAACATGCGCTCAGGTCTGTTTCAGGTACACATTGCTGTATTGTTCAATTTAACCATGTGTCCTCTTTTAATAAGTTATTCTTAAGGGAGAAGGAGCAATGTAAACACTTTAGTAATTTTTTTATTGATTAAAAAAGTAAATGACAGCGGAATGCATTACAATTCTTATGACACATATACAGCACAATTTTTTCATATCTCTAGTTGTATATATGACCCTCTATGGTAGTGACAATGCTTTGTTCCTGAGAGTCCCTCCCCTCCCTGAAGCTCACAGCCAACTCCTGCAAAAAGAATGAGAAAAAAGCGAGTGGTAGGAGGGTGTGTGAGCTTGTCTTTAATAACGCTAGACTTTTCACATGTGCAGTTTTATAGCAGAAAGATGGGACAGAATGTGCACAGGATCGTACAACAGCGAGGGGGGTGACTAAAGGCTAAAAAGTCAACATGGGAATCTGTATCTCAAAAGAAAGGTTACTGCCTACTCAAAATAGCCCACCACAAAAATGATTCTGGCAATCTAATCCAGATCGTCAACCAATATTTATCACAAGCTCTGATTTGATCATATTCTCTTCTTTTTTTAAAATCAGTATCCGTCTCCTTCTTATAAGGTACTTTTGGTTGCAGAACTTTACAGAAACGAATTTTTACAGTGTTTTTCAGAATTGCACCTCTCAAAATACCTTCCATCTTAAATCCACCTAAACATGCTGAGAGCCTATTCAAAACAAAACAAAACTCTCTAAATATATGTGCTTCAAATAATTCCATTCTTATGGAGGGCTCCAACTGTATTAGCATATACTATGCCTCAGATCATTTTTTCCTCCAAGTTGAATGTTCTGGTAAAATTCTGCAACTTTCTAAACCCTTTCATTTTGTTATTGATAACTACAAATGTTGCCCACAAAGGCCCCAGATAAAACTGTCATGGGAAGAGCCTCCAATTTGGGGAAGACCGAATTGCAGCAAAGGCTCAATCTCGCATCCTCCTACTAAAGACAAACCATCCAGAAAACTCCAGCGATGAATTTCGGTTTCACCCTTCACTTTCACTTATCTTTCACTTGAAAGGATGCATTTGACAGGGTTTAGGGGCAAATGTTGAAGCATTAGAATTGAAATTTTAGATGGAAATGCTCTGTATCCAAAGGTACTTTCCCCTCAAAAAGAAAATGGTGTTGTTTTTTTTTTTGTTATTTTTTTCAGGTCTTGAAAATAAAATAGGAAAGAGGGCAATTATTCTGGGAACCTTGGTTATGTCAGTAGGCAGTGCTATTATTAAGCACACAGAAAAAGGCTTTTTTAACCTCATTAGTAGGATTTCAGGCCTTTATTGCCCAGGGAATAACAGCAACTCCAGCTCTTACCTCTCAGCCTGTCCTTGTCCCTCCCACCCACCCCCTGTCTCATTTATTCTTTCTCTTTGTCTCTCCCTCTTTTCTCTCTCATACATACACACAGAAGATAAAATAAAAACTGTCAAACACCCACTTCCAAACAGAATAGCAATGAGATTTAAAACATCAATGTCTTCACATCCATCAACTAAAGAAATCCCTATAACTCACATAATTAAGAGAAAAATACTACGGCAAGTCTATGAAGAGGGGGTTTGGATTATCTATTTTCTCCATACTCAAGCTTTATTCTATTGCCAAATGTGATAATATGCCTCTGTTTCCCCTTCATTTGTCTGGTTTGGGAAATACCTCTGGAGACCTCTAATAGGCCAAACTGAGTCCTCTGAGGGTGCACATCCCGAGATTTCTTTATAACTGCTGGAGTTAATGGTGGTATTTTTGAAGCCTTTTAACGGGAAGAATCTTCCAGGAACTGCCTGCTTCTCCTACCACCTTGGACCAAACCATCATCCAATGCTGGGATCACTGCAGTCGCCTCCCAGTTAACCTCCAGCCCCCACCCGCTCTCTTCATGACCTGTGGACTGTTCTTACTGTAGCAGCCCCTATGTCCCTGTGAGGCGATGTCACATGATGACTCCTCTACTCAAACCATTCACAACCTCTCATCTCCTCAAACTAAATTCCAAAATCCTCACAAAGACCTCCATGCCCCACAGGAGCCCATTTCCCCATTATCTCTTCAGCTTCTGATCTCCTCTCTTCCTGAGTCTTCTAAGCTCACCCAGCTCTTTCACCTTTGGTCTCATCACTATTACTTAAAATTCTATTCTTAACCATCAGTTTCTGAGGGGGCCTTCCTCGGCAATACTATATGATGCCATAACCCCCTCTCTCTACTACCTTCTTACTCTACCTTGACTCCAGAGCAGGGACCACCCTGTGACATGTGATACCTGGATGAATTAATGCATCTGTTTAAACCTCTGTCTCTCCAGAAGGGGTTAAGCTTGATGCCAACATGAGCCTGGATCTGCTGGTTTCACCATTTGTTTCTGCAGCACCCAGAACATTCCTGGTAGTTTGAAGGGGTTTGGTAAGTATTTGCTAACTCTTAATCAAAAGACACTTGCTCCGGTTCCTTCAAACAACCAGTGAAAATATTCTCTGAGATGCCCCTGCAGGTTATCTGAAGGCCTCTCTGATTTGCCTGCAAAGGGAGGAGCCTGGACTGAACCAAGCAGGAGACACCCTTGGCTGGGATGCAAAGACACAGAATAGAACTGATGGGCTTGAGAAGAGATGGAGTGGGGGCTGAAAGAACTTGGGAACAGAGTCAGGAGGTGCACCTGAGTCCATGGTCTCTGTATTAGAAAAGGAGACCACACAAAAAAGACTCTCACTTTCCTCCCCTCTTCTCTGTCTGCTCACTGTCCTTCTGTTCTCTCTCTCTATTTTCCTTTGGGGGTCATTTGACTTCTGAAAATCAGTCCATCAACTATAGTCTCCACCCAGGAATCACACTGCCCTCTGAAACTAGTCAATCCCTAAACACTTCCACTCCTGCATTTCTACCAATATCTCAAATCCATCCTTTTGAAAAATGTACATAAACTCAATGTTTGCTTTGTTCAGAGGGTGCACAACTCTTACTTCACAAACATTGAATCCAGCCTCCAATATCGTTCCAAACATTTAGAAGTGGCCTTTCTCTTTGGCAAAGAATTGGATGAATGAATAGAGATGAAGCCTTAAAACAATACAGAATGGGTACTCACTAAAGTTAGCTATCCTATAATATGAACTATCTCAAGAAATGTTAGTAACTGTACTAAACAGTAATAATACTTATTAAGTACAGAAATCCATAAAGGAATTTGCATGTGGTGGCAAGCTATGATAGGACAAAGGGAGGTCTTCTCAGAATGTTCACATGGCCAGTACAACAAACTCTACACCAAGAGGCTGTTAAGGTGTCTTTTGTGGAAGAGGTGGATGAGGGGCCACAGTGGCCCCTGTGAAGAGAGAAGGACTCCTCCAAGTATTTGGGACACATAAGGGCTGCCAAGTAGATTAGCCTCCATTGGGTGGGCACTTATCTATACAGCTCACCTTGTCACTTTCCACTGTGGTTATCTGTGTAGAGGTTTTCTTTCTTGTTCCAGATTGTTAACTCTTACAGGGAAAATATTCACGTCTCCTGTTGTCAGAGTTCAGTAAACTGGTTTTCACCAGCTCTCTGAGGACTGACTGCCTGACAGTATAGTTGTCTTAGAGGTCATGTCATCTAACCTTCTCAGACAACCCCCAATTCCCCTCCACAACCCAGCAGTCTAGACATTAAGAGACCTAAGTTCTGCTTAGTCGCTCCTGAGCTCTTT